TTCACAGAGAGAACGGGGGAAATCGCAATTTGCGCTCGCGAGCTGTGCCTGCAGCCTCTACCATCTCATGTTTCACGTCAGACCCCGACAATCTGGCCTCGTCGCTCTAGTCGACCACCCGTCACAACCAGACAAAAGAGCACGAATGAAAGAAAGACAAGTAAATCGGACTCAGAACTGCAACGCTTCAAAATGCACAGAATCTTGGCCAAAACTTGCCTGATTGGCCAGCTGGCTGCGGATCAGCTGGGGCTTCCTGCGGAAGAGAAACGCTGCTCGATGAGAACTTTGAGACCGTGTGTGATTTTGGCGCATGAGGTATGGAAATCTACAAGCAAACTCCAACGAGACTTAATCGTTCGACATAGGCGGACATTCTACACGCACTCAGCCACTAAGCCTGGAGATATCAAGGATGTCCACTGCCTCATATGCCATGTCTTTGCGGCGAAATGCTGCTCGTATGGTTGTGTTCTGCGATCACGTTCGGTGAGATTCTGCAGCGCTGGGTTCAAGTCCTCGTTTTCGAGTTGAACATTGGCCCAAGCCGATGCTAAGTTTGGATGCCACTTGACTTGGTTCTTGAGTTTCTCATTTGTTCTTGCAGGTGCTGGGCAAAAGGCCTCCAAAGATCCCCACATCCTCCTGCAGCAACTTGTACCATTCAGATCCTTGGGTTGCCTGGAGGTGCGTCTTGGTACTGCCCACCAAATCTAATTGCACCGGTGAGACATACTGAGCCAAACCAGGACAGATTCTTTTGAAATTTACGGGAAACAAGTTCTGTGGTCCAGGACTCACACCACGGCCATCCGGACTTTGAAACACTCGACGCTGCAAGACACAGAACATCACAAAAACAGCTTTGAGGAAAGCATTGACCTTGCGCACTGAATGTTCATCTCAAGCTTGCCCGAAGTTCCCGAAGGTTCGTGAGTTGCACCAGTTCAATGCCGAAAGTGCGCTGAATGGCAGGGCTGCCATAGCAGCAATTCCACTTGCACGTCGCGTGAGCACTGGTGCCAGGATGTGCCAAAAGAGATGAGAATAGAGCAGGCTCAGACCTGCGTGCGCCCGCGCAAGAAGTTCAGAAAGTCGCCGTAGGCGGGCGATAGCTTGTCGCCACGAGCCAACACCCAGGAGCAGTAACTGGCAGCAAAGGTCAGGAAGAACACGGCCACTCAACATTTGGCGTGATGCTGCCTGCTACACCTCAACAGCGTTTTGTGCTTGGCCGCAGGCCACGTAACTTGTCTGACAGAGTCGAGAGAATGCGAGAGAAAAGGTTTGCTTTCGTGCGTTCCGGTATCTGTAGCAGCCCGTGTCTTTCTTGTGGTCTCAGAAACCGTTGGACATGCCAGCAATGCCTACAGAAATCCACAAAGTTTCTAGCGGCTTCTAACACCTTGGCTCACAACTCACGTATGCCTCGGATGCTGCGCCAAACATTCTTCGAAGGTGAGGTCCTTGCATCTGCCAGACTTCACGCGGCGTTCACCTCTGTGACAAAGCTGCGGATTCCCTGAGTGCACGCTGCAGGCATCACACAATCTCGCCTGTCTGCGCCTGTGCGGCAACCGCGCAGAAGCAACGTCGGCCTGACCAGGTGTTGGGCTTGCACAGCGGACTGCAACACGAGTCTCCTTCCTTGATTGGACATCAGCCCGGAAGACCATTGCCGGATCTCCATTAGCTTCCAGTCCAACATCTAGTCTCTGGCAGATAGATCTGCCAAGTCTTGGCGGCAAGAAATAAGGTCTACGGCACTGAGAAGAGGGCCAACGAATATTTTGGCTCGGAGCATTGGGGGCTCGAAGCAGAGTAAAATCATCATGAAGCTACAAAGAAGCAAAACATACTTGGGTCCTTAGGTGTCGCCTGACAGTGTGGTGATCTTGAGCTTTGGCAAGCCCAAGCCAGCAAGCGGCAGATGACGCAGCCGCAGCATTGCTGAAGTCCGCAGCTAGCAGCTTGTGCAAGAGCGGCTGCAGATGAACCGAACTCCCCACACAAAGACAAGCACACTTCCAGATTAGAGTTTTCCTAGATCGCTCAGACCGCCAGACCTCAACTCAGATATAAGGTGCGGACATCGGGCTCTGCAGCCACCTTCGCAGGATCTGGCACTGTTGCTCCGCTCTGTCCTGCCTGCTTCGCAAACCCGAGCACTGAGGCAGCAACAGCTTGCTCCGGACCAGGCGTGGACAGCAAAGAGCTGCTGTCGTTGGGGTCTGGACAAATGGTCACCTGAGATTCCAAATCTGTGGGCTTCGTGTCAAGTGCCAACATGTACAGCCGGTTCATGCCGGCACTCATCCCGGCTCCCACTCACGTCATTGACCCCATTCATCACAAGCTTAGAGCTTGCTTCGATTTGCCCGGTCCCCGGCATGGTACTCCAGCTGCGACTCGTACACAAACTCCTCAGCGAAATCAGACACAGAAGTTCTAACATGTCCATGCATCTCCAACTCGGGTCCCGGCACCGCAGATGGCACACTTGTACAGGGGGCCTTTGCCCTGACACGTGTGCTCTCTGTCTTTCCGGTGCTGCGTCTTTCTCTGGGGTTGGCTGGTCAAAAGGAAGAACACTGGTCGCAGCCTCTGGCACGGCAGAAGCAGTTCCAGTCCTAGACTCAGAAGGCGCGACATTGCGCGACAGGCTGCTCCGATCTTTCTCGAGACTTGAACGGGGCATCTGTCGCATTGCACAGTTCTGTGCTTCATGGCTAGGAGCCTGACCTAATCGACGGGGAGCTGCTTGGAACTTCGCCAAGCCCTGCCGTGAAAACGCAAGGGTCCAACGTGGCATTGCTATGCTTATGCAGGCATGTGTCAAGCTGGCAAAGAAACGTCTGGATACATCTGGCTGTAGAACAGGAGCGCATGCTTGCAAACAAGTTGCCAAAGGGTGCTCTCGGTCGGTGTCACTCAGCATCATTGCTTGGGGTTCGGACATGATGCTCTTACAGCACTTCAGTAGCGATACTTTCGCAATCCTTGCTGTCATCTGCCTGCGCCGGGCTGGCTTTCACCGATGCCAGCTGAGACCTGTGGAGGCTGGTACGGCATGCTGCGAGAAAACTCAGACCAGAGAGTTCTTTCTGGACTAGGGCCCCTTGGCCTTTCTAATGTTGGCGTCCTTTTCCTGGTTGCAGATCCGTAAATTGCAGAATGTCTGGCTGTTTACAGGCTCCAGTGCCGCTATGGACAGAATTCCCGGGACTCGAGCAAGTAAAATACTGTGAAGCACAATGAGAATACAAGTGATGGTACTGAGGGAAAGCACACATAGCACAAAACAACAACTATCAGTGCAATAGTAATAAGAATAAGAATGAGAATGAGAATAAGAATAATAATAAGAATAAGAATAAGAATAAAAACAAGAATAGTGACAATAACGCTAAGATTAAAAAATATATATTACAAAATACATCATAATAATAAGAAGAAGAAGACTCAGAATCATGATAAGTTTTGGCAATTAAAAAGATACAGCAACGGCAGTGGAAATAGAAACGTGGTAAACGCCACAAATGTACTAATAGTTAAAGATAGGGCAATAGCAAGAGGACAAGTTCATAATAGCAATTGGGATCATTCTAGGAATAGGAAGAGCAACTATTTCTGCCCGAAACTGGAATACCGGGGCCATGCTTTGAAACACGCTCGGTATGTGATCTGTGTCCAGTACTTCCCAGGCTGACACAATTCTGCTAAAGCCCAGCCTACATGGTGGCACCACGCCAAACAAACATAGCACATTGACAACGATTCGTTGGCAGCTGTCGGCAAGTTCATCCCCAAGGTATTAGTGGCGCTGTTTCCTGCTCGGCCTGCGTCGCAGCACTCTCCACTTCAGGTGTCAATTCCAGGACAACCTAGGCAAATCTTGTCTGGTGACGAAACATACCGCGCTCCTGCTGCTTCAAGCTGTCTCATGGGTTAAACAAACAAGCAAAGGCCTGTCTAAGTTTCTGGCTGTTCTGGGAGTTTGTTCCACACCTGGCACCTGCTGCGGCAACAGTCTGTCCCTGTTTTGGTTAATGGTCTGTGCAGACATGGATTCACAAAGCATCTGTCATCTGCGCCTCACATGGTGCAGCCGCCATGCCGATATTGCACTATCCCAAGCTGCTGTTGCAATGAAGATGTGTTGAGTGGGTAGTGTGTGAGACTACTGGATACCCGCGCAAAAACATGTTCACATCGTATCTGTAGTTCTGGAAAGGGAAGATTACCTGAATTAAGGGGCCTAGGAACCGCTACGCCAGGTTGGAGGCATCCTTGCTGGTTACAGTTCACCCCGATAAGAGGAAGGTTGCTGACGTGTGAACATGAGAAGAAAGTTTCCAGAATCACCTGGCTTAGAGAGCATCTTCCTGAAACGGGCACACTTACAAGGTCCTGGACTTCTCTTTCTGACTGCAGGAGGCACGTGTTGTGAGACAGACCTGGCATTGCCCATGGCACTGTGAAACTCCGACGTGGCAGAAAACTTTCCGAACTGACGGCCTTTGGAGCCAGGCGTCTCATGTTGCTATTTCAGGTGTGATATCACTCCTCCTCCTCCTCTGACTTGCCCAGTGCAAATCTCTTGCGCACCTTCAATGAATGGATGCTAACAGATCAGGTCGCACATCCACAGGGCCGAACCCTCCGTTAGCAAGAGCTTCGAGGCATGCACATAATCTTCATGAAACTGTTTCCTTCGGTCATAGAACCTTGGCGGCACCGCAGAACATACCGCAGACGAGACACGACACCACAGAAGCAATGTTGCCCTAAAGTAGAGTCTTTCCATAGGCTTTTGGTGTCCCATGCTACAGATTCCTAGCAAATCACAGGTGGCCGCAGGCGACTCGCCTCTTGAGCCTGAGCTTCCTGAAGCAAATCAGTACATAGAGGCGTATTTGGCACATCCTAAGGAGGGTCCTTACGGTACTGGTGGCGATGGCAGCTCACGTCACATGGTCCAGTCAGATTCTGGGGCTCCTTCAATACCCCGCAAGTTGTGGCATCAACACCACATGCAACACTGCGTTTGGAAAGCATCGATCCAGCTTAGGCAAGTACTCCAGCTGCAACGGATCTCGTTGCCTTAATCGGAAAAGGCTAGCTACCATAATGTCAGCAGCGTGCCACACAGTTGGACCCGGGCAAACTGAAAAGACGCTCATCGATGCGGGCAAACTTGGCCGCGTGATCCTCATTCAACCTGAGAGTTCAGCACGCTTGTGCGTGCCAGGAGCGCTGCTCAAGGCTGCGCGCAGCTCGCAGCATCTAGCACTGAGGTGCACGACCTACCCTGTTCTTGCAGACGTTGTCGCCCAAGCGCATAAAACACCTAAGTCTGCGGTGAGCTGGGCAGCCCACAGGCTGTGTAGCTGAAGGACAAAAAAAGGAACCAGGCTCTCATCTGATCGTGTGCCGCATTGATCCTTGGTAACGCAGGCTCGCTTTACAAAATGCTCTCCATCTTGTCCTGCGTGAGCTGCGACACAATCGAACAGCATCTCATTTGTCTATATTTGTCTCAGTATACAAGTTGAAGCGAGGCTCTGTTGAAGCATCTGCACACGCTTCCTCCTGGCCTCACAGATGCGATTGGATGTCCGTCCCACTGGTTGTCGACACAAACTTTCACTAGGTTTCACACGCCACACGATTATGTCACATGCGTGATCACACGTGCCCTCCAAACTGGCTGAGAGCAAAACTCTCCGGAAGCGTCTTTCCCAAAAGCCCTCTGCACCTGAGGCATGTGAGCAATCCGCCCGACAGCACACGGATCACGGTTAAGCCTTTCTGAGCTCAATACCAGAGGAATCGTGGAAAAGGACCTGTGCCAGGAAAGCATCCAGCCGTGTCTGCGACCGTTGATGCAGCATAACGAACCATTCTGCGTAACATTGATTCGCCACTGCGGTGTAGAGAAGATACGGAAACCTACCACGTAGGTGGCACTTCTTGGAAGCCTGGACATCGTCTCGAATCGGCAAGTCCTCAAACACCTAATCGTGGCTGAAGTTTTTCAACTCTCACACAACCTTGCCCTTTCGCAAGGAAACTGCGAGAACCACCGGTTCCAATCTCACGACAAACAGCGGAGCGCGACGCACGAAATCTAAGAAGCATGGAGTTCGCTTACGACCTGCTTGCAGCCCAATCCAAACTTCATGAGATTCACGAAGGACGCTTTGTGCCGGGAACTGTTTGTCGGTTGTTGGCGCTTGGATGGCAAGCCTTCTGTCTCGACCGAACTGACGAAGTGCAACTCTAGGCTTCGTCTGAAAAAAACCACTTGGCAGCCACCTTCTGCAGGACTCGTGGACTCGTGATTCTCATCCTCATACGGGTACCCTACCAGGGACTCCTCCACAAACTCAAGGTACCTCGTACATCCTCGTACTCGGTCTGTTGCATAACAACACTGCCAACCAGTGCTGGTGCGAAACACCACGCCGCGCAACATGACGAAAACATGCCTTGCACCCCCTTGTCAATATACAGCTGTGACGGTTATG